CTAAGCAGGAATACACAGAGTTAACAACGAATTGTCACAGAAAATAGAGGGGATTAAATCTTGTTCATTTGACTCAAAAATTGAGAGAATTAAAAGAAACTTTAGCTCTCAATGACCGTAGCTTTGCTTTTTAGTTTAATAGTTGGATAAGAAAATGTTTACTTGTCAATCAAAAGAAGAAACAATATATCGCAAAAAATTGTAAAGATTGAACACTTACCAAATAGTCAAATATTGCTTTTAGGCGACGGATCTAAGTTTGTAATTGTAACTTGTGAGTATTCATATGGCATGTAAGGCAAATAAAGTATTCCAATCTGAGAGTTTATATTTTAGAATGGATAAATTATTTATAATAATATTTTATACATTTATAAATAATATATTATTAAACAATTGACGCCAACTTGCGGATTGAATATTATTGAATTATAATTTTTCTGGTTTAATATTTCAACCCTGGCTTGGCTCAAATAGTAAAAATAATATACCCGATACCGAAAAAAATTTATTGTATTTTTCCCTATATGCCCGACCCGATATAAAAAATATTTGTCCGCCCAACCCAGCCCTAAATTATTTAAATATAGTTGAATATCAGCGACAAACATCCTATAATGTTTACATCAGGAATCTGTAGTTATTAACTAGAAAAATATGGAAATCGGTTTCTTTTATTTTTGGGTTCACTTTATTTTTTAACAAAATAAATATAATAATTTTTTTCTTACTTGAACTATTTTTATTTCTCCTTCTTTTCTTTTGAACAAAAAAATATTTTTTTCCTCTTTTGAAGGCAACCAAAATAAATTTCTAAAAAAATAGACAATAATAATCAAATGATGAAGAAAATCTGGAAAAACGATAACTGTCTTTTATTTAGTTTTTTTTATCTATATAATATATATATATATATACCGCAAAATAAATATAAATTGATTAATAATAGGATTAATCTAAAAGTAGAAATTTTTATACAAATCCTTTTTATTAATATATTAAAAGAATGACTGCGCAAAAAAATTCAAAAAAATATTCTTCACAAACAAAAAATGACTCTACACTTTACATAAAAAACGATATACATAACACGCCCCCACTAATTGAAAACCAAACTTCACCCTCGCACCCGGCATAATTATCGTTCCTTTATGGTTATTGACTAATTTAAACTGTTGTTAGCTCATCGAGTCTCCTCCCTTTGTGTGCCGCTATTGTCGATTCCTTGTAGAAATCAGGTCATATTTAGACCTGGCTCCACTTATCATTTGCACTATTAACCATTTTGCACCATTAACCCTTATATGGTTGATTCCCTTTTTAATAATATTATCAATCAAACCGGTAATGAGTTAGCATGCCTATAGTTTAACTACCCCCTTTAATTTTCCTCGGATATTTTGAGCACCGTACTAAAATGAATATTTTTCTACCATGAATTTTCGATCAAGTATATACTCCTATTCATACTACCGATCGTAACCTCCTAGGTTCCAAGTTCCATTTCAATTGATCTCGATGCCATACTCCCTCTCTTCCGTCGATGAATATCACTCGATTTAATTTATGGCATGTTTTCCATGATCACCCCAGATTCACACCTTTTTGTACCTCCATATATTCTGCCCACACGGTTTGTCCCAATACAAACTCAGGTTTCTCCACTACCTTCCTCCCCATCTGATGTGGTTCGGCTTTAATAAATCAAATAATATCCTGGTAGGCCGCCCTAAAAACTTCTCTGCTGGAAATTGTTCTTCTCCCTTTCGACTATTGTTGTAGCCACCGCTATCCAAATTTTCCCACCTTCATACTTTGATTTTCTTAACCAGTTCTTGACAATCGACACCATCCTCTCCGCCTGACCATTTGAACTGGGATGATATGGCGGCGCTAAAATGTGCTTGACCTCGGTTTCTACACAAAACATCTTAAACTGTTCACTGATGAAAGCTGGACCTCCGTCAGATACTATCGTTGGAGTTACTCCAAACCTGGCCCATAGATTTTTCATAAATATACAATAAAAGGGGGGTAAACAAAGTATAATTTTATTTTAATTCAATACATCCCATACGAGCTCCTTCTCTTCGGTAAATATGCATTATTTATAATCATGTTTAACTCATTAAAGGATTCAGAAAATTAAAAATGAATTCGAATATATCAAATTAGTTATTATTTGTATTTTTCCCCATTATTTATTCTTTTTTTATATTTTATTATTATTGTAAAAAAAATTTTTGAAAAAAAATTTAAGTTTTCTTTTAGCACGAAAACTAGAAACGCATATCCCTAAAAGATACAAGTATTTATAATTATATATATGTTGTATAATATGAGTTTTTTTTATTTATTATTGTAAAAATTTAATACATGTTGAGTTATTTTAATGAAATTTTTTTGTAACCTACTCGTATTTTTTTGACTTTGAAAAAAAGAGACTCATCCTTTCAGTTTTTTTATATATATTTTGAAAAAGAAATTTTATAAAAATTATTATAATTTTTTTTTGGTTCTTGTTTAAAAGGAAAATAAAATTTGAAATTTTAATAAAAATTTTACTCTTGAATTTTAAAAATTTGTGATATATTACAAAATCGATAACGCAAAATATATTAATATTTGAGAGAAGTAATTCAGTAAACTGGAATAACGTAAAAGAAATATATATATAAAAGATTTTTGAAATATAGTGTTGTTAAATCACTAAATCGAATCCTCTAAGTCTAATCGACTGAAGACAAATCGACTAAGTCAAAAACAGAGCCAAGTTTTGGGTCGTAAAAATAGACCCAGACTCATTCGGATTATGGCATATTTTCTCAATATTTCGGGCCGGACCGGAGTTGAAAAATTAGGGCTGAAAATACAAAATTCAATAATATTCAATCCACAAGTTGGCGTTAATTGTTTTATAATACCTTATTTATAAATATTTAAAATATTAATATAAATAATTTATCATTCTAAAATACAAACTCTCAGGATGGAATACTTTATTTGCCTTGCATGCCTATGAATACTCACAAGTTCCAATTACAAACTTAGATCCGTCGTAAAGGTTCAATCTTTGCATTTTTTTGCGATATACTTGTTTCTTCTTTTGATTAACTGTAAACATTTTTTTAAACTTAAAAGTACACCTACGGTTATTAAGTTGCAAAGATAGTTAAAGTTTTTTTTGTTGTTTCTCTCAATTTTTGAGATAAATGAACAAGATTTAATCTCCTTACGCGCCCTTACGTGTTCTCCATCAAAAAAGCATAATTTATAAAAAAATGAAGGCAGAATCCAATGACATATATAATACCTAGACCGACGATTCATTCATTAAAAGTGTACATAATGCAAAATCAGCTAGAGACGCCATCTTGGTTACACTAATCATTATTAAAATTTTAAACGAGACCCTAATTTATTCCTATATCTGATGTAAACTTTATTAAAGAATTACCGGATTATCGAGATGATAAGGAAGCAAAGTTATCAATTTAATAGTAGTTTTTAACATGAGAATAATTACTATATGTGTTACCAAAATGGCGGGTCCAGCTGATTTGCTTTTAACGACGCTTAAAAATGCATTTTAATGAATGAATCGTCAGTCTAGGTATTATATATGTCATTGGCAGAATCATATATAGTTTATTAAAAGCAATAAATAAAATGTTAATATTATATCTTAAAACTTTTTATAACTTAATGAGCTTTTGAAAAAAACACATTTTTTGACTAAACTACGGGC